TACTACTACTACTACTACTGTTCCTCCTACTACTACTTCTACTACTACTACTACTACTACTACTCCTACTACTACTACTACTACTACTCCCACTGCTTCTACTGCTACTGCTACTACTGCTGCTACTACTACTACCACCACCGCCGCCGCCACCACCACCACCACCACCGCCACCCACCACCACCTTCACCACCGCCACGACTACAGCAGTTGCTTCTGGAGGCCGGAGGAATCAGAGCCCAGTTGATTTGCCTCCCAAGGCACCCTTCAGGGCTCAGCATCTCTTTGTCCAGCCAATGCTGGACGCTTCCGCAGTTCATCTTCTCGATGGTCATGCACCTTGCCATGCCATATCGTGCCATAGTTATATACACATGTTAAATAAGCTCGAAGGTGGATCTGCAATCTAACATGTCTTCAGCGCCAGCTTTAACGGACCACTGACATGTGGCGTTTATGCTTCATCCAAGGTGCACGTAGTGGGTCGGAAAGCTCTTCCGCTGAATATCCGACTTCAACTTTCCTGTCGGAATCCAGCAAATTCAAGACAGCCGTTGATGGGCAAGCTCAAGTAGGGCCCTCCTGTAAACCTGCCAAATATGGAGATCACGTCAACAGGACTGATTTTGACACAGCAGGCTGGTCACAGGACACTCCTATGGCAAGGCTGCTTTGACTGAAGGTATATGGAAACTCCACGTCCAAGGCCACTCTTTATGTGCATGTTGCTTTTTGTTTGCTTATGACCCTCAACTGGACCACACAAATGTACGCTGCAGGTCAAGGTCCGGGAATCTAGTCATACAGGAATTCCCTGAAAATTGTGCTCGGATCCGGCAGGAATTGTGAAGGTCTTCATATGGAGATGCAACAGGGTCAGGGGTGACTGAAAAGCAGGGCTCCCCTGCGCTGGTTCGACTATAGCCTGCTCTAAGCCTTACCTGCAATTATACCAACGTAACATTTCTGCTTCTGATGCTTCTGAGAAGAGCTATCCTGCAGCATAGCCATCGAGCAAGCACTTCTTCAGGACACCATTGTCATCCCCGTAGAGGAAGACGTCCTCATAGCTCACCTTAGGGATGGACTATGATGGACTCATGACTTCTCCTACTAAATGCCTAAACCCATTCCACTGACAGTGGAACATCCTTGAAGTAACGATGCCGGCTTGGGATGCTAAACCACAAGAGGCCATGAGAGACATTGTATCTGCATCAGGCCTAGCCGTGAAGGCAGCTTCAATCGGGGATGAAGCCAGCCGCTATGAAATGCTGGATTGTTTCGCGCAATGTATGCACTGCCCCACGGCTAATCTGCAACGATGCAAAGCATGAAAATGAATAAGTAAAGCACAACGACTAGAAGACTTCAGCATCGTAACATTGCTTAGTACCCTTCAAAGGCATGGTTACTTTGACAACGAGGACCATAAAAAATGTACAAAAGTTGTGATACTAGCGGCTACTAACAGAAACAGTGGCAACAGGACTCTTGCTACAGGTAAGTGCAACTGTAGGCGAAAGGCTATGAACAAAATGATCCTACTAGCCATTCCGAACTGAGCTCGGTGCAATGTTGTTGTGGCCTTTGCCCATCCTCAGAGAACATACACCGCAAGGGCAGCCTCTAACAAATTCGATCCTTTTAATCTATCACGTTTTTTTCCGAATGAGGCCCTAGATCTCACAGAGTTTTGCCCAGAAGGTTGTTTGGGTAACAAGCGCTTCACTGTCCAGGAATTACGCGACCTCATCGGGAAAGGCTGCCCTGATGACAAGGAATCTCACGCATTGCCACGGTGGATGGAGGAGATGCTGCACTGCCCTACTTCCTCTTTACCCAAGGAAGTATCGGGTGTCTTAAGTAGTGCAAGAGTTTCTCCATCCACAGCAGGGTTCATGGCTAGTGTAGGTGCAGGAGAATCTTATCATGCCTTGACTAGCAACCCTGAGAGTCTCTGTACAGCAAGATTAAAGTTGGCAGCTTGACTGCACGTTGTCTGCCTGCAAGAAAGACTCTTGCTTCCGTAGACCCACTCCTTTGCGGTAACATCTGCGTGATGGACGTCACTGAGCTTCAGCACCGCCTGGTAGCACTCCCTAAAAAAAAGCAGCTTGATTGCGCTTGCTGTGGCCGTTGCACGAGCCTTTTCCGGGCCCGATTTGCGTTGGGGGGTTTTGGAAGTGGCAAGCTCCTAACCGCATGATAATCATTTAGCCCTGCGTCAGCTGCCCCAGAAGGAAACTGTCATCATGCAGATAGCCCTGGCAACATCCCTTTAGAATGCAATGCCTCCCCGTTTCACTCCATCCGCAACAGCCCAGGCCTGCTTGTCAGACCCCTTCCTGGGTGCCATCATTACCCAGCCCCACTTTCCATTGCCGAGCCAGGTGCCTGCCAGTGGAGGATTACTAAGGTTTCCACGCTTGCATCGCTCCAAGGAGGCGCAGCCTGACCCCTCAATGCTCAGCAGGATCCTACTGTGCAGCTACAAGGCTTAGTCAGGGAATAAGGTTGCAGGGATCGAGCCTCGGGTCTGGGGTTGTTGGGTCTGTGTTTTGCCACTGCAGATGTGGTCCTCACGCTAAGGATTATTTTGAAGGTGGAAGCGTAACTGCACATGCTGTCTTATTGCATGACATTCCTGTCGGCTCGGGGCTTATAGGATTACGCCGAGTCTTGCCTGCTTTCAAGTTGAAGGCGTTTTCCAAAGAGTCCGCACCTCAGATGGGACTGACCTGCAACTGTGCAATGAACAGGGCCTCGCAACTTGGTGGTAGCAAACACTGGCAGCAAAAGCATGCTGGTACTGTCAGTGTCTGCTTGGTGCTGGCCAGGTCATGCGCCGGTAGAGGGGTGTCTTCAGAAGCTGAACAAGGACCGACACATTCTTAACACTTTGATAGCCCGCCCACATCAAGCCCCAATATACTGTATCCCAGCGGACTCACTTGCTTTCTAAGCATTCGAGTGGCTCACAGAAGCCTTCGTAGCGCTTTCCCAGAAGGAGTTCATAGCCTCCACTTCCTTCAGTCTTCACCGCTTTAGGCTGTGCACAACCCTATATCGTGAATCGACTGCGCTGAGTTTAGTGCCTCTGGGAAATTCTGAGAGGGCCTTCTGCCATGGCTTCTAATTGCATTGTTTAAAATGGCGGTAGAGTGGCGACAGCTCGAAAGTTTCAGGCTCGATCTTCAGAATACTGTTTCTCTGGCTTCTCCAGCCTCCTCATGCTGCTTCTCCTCATCGCGAGCATTGGGCGCGGCAAAGATTTGGTCCTTACCCGCGCGCCAGCATTGACAGGGTCGCAAATCTCAAAATGCCCATGACTAATCTTTCTTTCCCAAACCCGTTCTCAAAACTCTTCAAGCCTCTGGAATCAGTTTTCGCACAGACCCGTCCAAAGTCTGCCTAACAAGTTGCCAGCGTGGTACTTGGGGGACCCAAATTTTGGATACTATCCTTCTGGGCCTTCAGAGATATCCAAGAGATCCGAGAGAAGTGAGCAACCTCTCAAAGCGGGTCCCTCTACATTGTAGAAAAAGCCAGGGGGACAACTCATGGAACCCTAGACTTCTGGGTTGCGACACCATGTGTTCGTTTCGGATCTTTGTTGAGGTTCGGACATGAACACATCCTTGCGACAAACCTTCTAACCATAGCTCACCAATGAAGCGTGCAGCCAGAATCCGTAGTGCTGTAAACAGGCCTAGCATGCGTCTGCTGCTACATCTGTCTGCCAAACCCGGCAAAGATGCAGCAAAGCCGCTCCAACCTCCACAAGCTTGCCCCTGGCCTTCTTGCCTTGCAATGGCACTTACGTACGTGTAGCATCCACATCCCAGGGCTTCTAGCAACTGCGGGTTTCTTTTTAGGGACCCCATAAGGATAACCCAACCTTTGGAAGCTGTGATTGCTATATCAGGAACAGAGCTAAGTTCCCTTCCCGGAGACCTAAACTAAACTCGAGGGTTGATGCTTTGAGGCGTAATTCAAGACGTCAAACTTTTACATCTGCCTTCAGTCGCGCAGGCTAAGGATGGGGCCAAGCTTGGCGTAGCAGCTACGCACCGCTGCCCTGCACCCGGAGCATGGCTCTTCCCAAAAACTCTAGGATTTAAGCAGGTTGCTTATATGAAGGGCGACTGCTAGGTTTGTAGCTGAGCAAGTAATGACCACCCAACTCCTGAGTTCCTTCAGGCGGGCTTGAGTTTCAAGCTGGTTACGTCTCTCGCCCTGGTTTCAATGAAGTATTCCACTGGCCAAATGTTCGGGGTGTTAAAAAGGTAAAGTACATAATCAAGGGAGGGCTAATGGACAATGTAAGTCGTCCGTTTTGCTTCTGAGGGTAGTGAAGACGCGCCTGAAATCCTTCACTGCCTGCTGCTCCTCCTCAGTGAAGTCATCTGCCTGGAAAAACGATTTTCAGAGAAGTCCTGGAAGTCCCAGGTCCCTAATCAAGCTTCTCATGCTGGAAAGATGCACGCAGTACAGAGTTGTCCATGCTCAAAAAAATGTTGCTCATCTGAGGTTTCTTGCAGCGCCCTGGCTCAGGCCGAGGCAAAACCATAGAGCGATGATACACTCAATGCCTGACGGGCCACCGTAGTCATGGAGATGATTCTAACGAGTTCTTTCGCTTCCCGGATGAATGACAGACAGGATTGGGCTGGACTACCTCTTCAACTTTGAGAAAGAGGGCTTGTTTCTTTACAAGTTCTGAAATGTTTTGGCTCAGAACTGCATTTCGGAAGCAAACCCCTCCCCACCACTCTACCCAAATGGGGTCTCGGACAGTGTGAACGGAAAATACAAGCAGCCTTGATCCCGGAGGGTGCTGGGGCGCGAGCAATCTTCGAACGAGACGTAACAGAGCTTTGACAAGTTTATCCAAGGTTGGAACTATGGGCCCCTGGTGTGCGTTTTTAATCCTCAGGTCCTTATGTACCTACAATACAAGCCAATTTAAGGGCCTGCAAGGACCCAAGAAACAAGTGGGGGCTCATGTTTGGGGCCATGGTTGGGACCCTTGAATCCACACCTCTTGCCGATTAGAAGGGTCTTTTATATATGGGGAGGCTTTGCCTGCCTTGTCTACCCCTACTCCGCAAGCGCTGGTGCCTGAAGCGTCTGGCTGGAGGGATCTGGATGTAGGGCCGCTAGGGCAATGAGCGTGTCTGGCCGGATCATTGCCACCTGAAGACCCCCATACAGTTGGGGTTGCATGTTTCTTCATACTGTAGAGGCCTCGCCTCGTCAAACCAAAAAAACCCTAAGCCCCCACTGCAAAGCTGCAGCCCTACCAGGGTCACGCGTCAGAAGGGCTTTTAGTGTAAGGACTACTTGGGGGCATGCATCTCCTTGCACAAGGTTCATGCACGCATGCGTGCGTGAGTTGAGTAGTAGTCTTAGTATGTCTTGAAGTGCTCACCATGGCGCAGCATCTACTATCGTGCTCGATTTTTCGCTTGCAGTGCATCCTAACCCCTGCGTAGACTACGTAGACCGCTACATAAACCTACGCATCCACAAATAATCCCAACATACGGCTACATGCGTCACAAAGAATGCTTGTAAGCGTGAGACATCTTCCTTCAAATTTCGACCAGGTCACACTCAGGGGCTGTCGCCAACTTAGCTACAGCGACGGACCACCTAACGCCACATGGCGCGAGGCGGCATTGCTCTTATCTGTCTTCTCTGCCAGCTTGGGAGAAAATGAAAAAGACTTGCTGAGGGTGTACTGGATGTAGGGTTTTCTGAAATGTGTACTGTATGCAATTAGCAGCTTTTGGACTCATGCTTCGGGCAGTCTGGTTGCACATGGTTGCAGCTACCTAGCTAATCTTCTCAGAGTAGTCTCAAGTGCTGAACTCTCATGCTTCATTCAAGTACCCAGCGTCACGCAAGGGGCTAAATACCTGCCGAGTTTGGCGGTGTCCCTGACATAAGACTGGAGTCATGGGGTCAGCAGCGAAGAGAACTGCTTTTGGGCATTACAGGCACCGACGCTGCCCTCAAAATGGTGCTGTGAGCCAGTCCACAAGCTGGATTGACAGGCTTTCATCCATCACGGCCTCCGTACCAACTGTTGCTTTTATGGGACTGCTCTGAGTTGCATGAGAAGCATCCTGAGTTTGCATGCCATACACTGATGCAACTTCAAGACTATATGCTGTTGAAAGCCTTGATCTCAGGCTTTGAGAATGCCTCTTACAGCTTGAAGCAAGGTTTGGGTGAATCTCTTGGTGTCCCATGAAGTCCTGCTGGCTTGGATTTCAGCAAGAATCTCAGACTGTGGGTGTGCGGTCCACATCAACCCAAAGTTTCTCGAGGTTGCGATTGTGTGGTGCCCGTGGAAGTTCGCAGGTCCATGGGCTGTTTGGTGCCATGCTCCAAGTAAGTGCACTCATTGAACCCTAGATGGCAGACAGCATCGCATTAGTCCTCTGCAAGTGTCTGAGCATTTCATGCCCTTTCATTTTTCGATCGGGCTTTAGAATGTGAGAATGACAGCTCTGACGTTGAGAAGTGGCATTGCAACATGGATGTTGCACAGACAACCTGATACCAGCACAGGGCCTTGGAAGCGGTTCCTGCTGCTGTTCTCATATGCCACTGAAGAACCTTATGTCCAACCCTGCAAGCACCTTGTGGGTGGAGGCAAAGGCAGCCAATACGCCTTGCTTGCCAGGGTCCCGGCCCTGTGTTCCTGATATCTTCCCCTTCATACGCATTCCGAAGTCCACCTCTTTCTCCTGGCTCCAAGAAGCTCAGAACATCAGGAAACTTCAAAGTGATGAAATTATGTGACTGGGATTCGTAGGCTTCCAGTTGGATCCACGTGGTGGCTTTCCAAGCAGAAATATTTTTGTGCTAGGCTCTTCCAAGTAGTCTTCATGTCTTGGCATTATGATTAAGGCTTGCAAGCCAGTATACGTGAGCTTGGCGCCCCTTCGGGGTGGACGTGACCTCACACATCTTGCTTGGACTCTTTCATAGACGCCTCACCGTCCTCGCAATTTTGATGGTTCAGGCTGAGAATAACCGTTTTCGGAATGCTCGGAATGCTCCTGTGCAGGGGCCGATAGCCCTCAAGACTTGGTGTACGAAGCTTTCAGGGCTTGAAAGACAAGCACAGCTTGAACCTGCTCTCCATTGTCATCGGGAAAGCCCTTCCAAGCTCAAAGGGCAGCTTCTGTTACTCTTTTGCTGGTTCCATCCCATTTCACGAGAACCGACTCCAAGCTGCGACAACCCAATGTGAGGAGATGCCCGATGCCCCAATCCCAAACCAGTGAAAGACCGGAATCAGAGTACTGCCATACTCCTTCCACTACAGCTTTTGGATGGCATGAC